GCGTAATTTACGCTGTACTTGTGTAAGTAGTTGGCGAGGCCAAGCCACTTACGCAAGTTGTTCTGGTTCTTTGGAACCGGCCAATCTACAATGGCCTTGACCTTAGCGAAATCCGCTCAAAGGCCACGCTTTTCAATAAACCACCCTAAAAAGGGAATCTCTTTTGAGATGCACTTGTCTGCATTGGCGTACAGTTTGTTAGCGCGCATGCACTCGAGCACCTTTCTTAAATGGACGATGTGGTTCTCCTCATCCGTCCTCCCGTGCTCCGCACGACTGTGAGCGAAAATGTCGTCAAAGTATGTCTGTGCATACGCTCTGTGAGGCCTGAGTAACTGCGTCACAAGACAATTAAATATTGCTGGTGCATTTGACAGTTCTAGGGACATCACCAGCCACTCCCAGAGCATGCCGCTCGAAGTGCTTACCGCTGTCAGCGAGATATCACTCGCTCTCATGAGCAATTGGTAGTATCCATCAACCAAATCGAGTGCACTGTACTTCGTACATTCCACCCTGTTGTTCTGAAGAACATTTTTTTCTAGGAATCGGCATCTGTGCCGGAATGGTGCAAACTGCTGGCATAGCCTCCAGGCTGACGTCGCCATCTTCCTCCCCCGTCATATCGTTGACGAGGGTGTATAAAGGTGCACCATCGTCTACGGTAGACACAGCCTGAATCAGGGACGACGCCCGGCGTCTTGCAGCCAGCATACGACGTTGCCGTCGCCTCTGTACAGAGTGTCTATGTCTCGGTGAGACCAGGGTGAACACGCACTCCGTATCGTCCGGTGTCACCCTCACTTTCCGCTCCTTTGGAGCTCCGATATTATCTACAACATCCGACGAAGAGCTGCTAACCGCGCAGTCTTCGTTTAGTGGATAACGTGCCAATCCACGCGCATCTGAAGGGCCGTGCCCAAGATGCTCCGGATCTCGTCCGACCATGCCACTGGTGACATGCAGCAACTGCTTCGAAACGTGAACAGTGCTCAGTAAATTGTGTGCCACTCCACGTGCATCGCTGATACCTTGCCCTAAATGCCTCGGACCTCGTCTGACCATGTCACTCGTGCTATGCAGCGACTGAGGCCCAGTGGATTACGTGCCAGTACACATGCATCACTGGGGCCTCGCGCTCGATGCCTCGGCCCTCGGCCGACCACGCCAATCATGGCATGCAGTGATTGCTACGTTACTTGCACGGCGCTCAGTGGATTACGTGGCACTACACGTTCAGCCTGCGAGCCATGCTCGAGACTCCTGTCCAGTACGCCTTCAGTGTTCACCAACTCAGATACTCCGATCTCCATCTAGTTGACCGCCTTGATCCAGTGCCCGCGCTAATAGCTTTTTTTCTCCTAGCAGAGGCTTATTCATGATTCTTTCAAGCACCACTAGGATACGTGTGCGTAGCACCCAAGATCTTCGACATCCGGTCGATCTATGGCTCATGGTGTTCAAGCCATGATAATCCAAGGATTAGATCATACATAGAATCTACGTCTACGACTAAGCAGCGTTCCACGCTATCACTGTCAAGAAACTTGACACCAAGGTTTACAAGAACCTTCGGCACCATGACACATGTTCCCGTCGCTGAGCGATTAGTATCGATGTCACTCAAGCGCACCTTCAGCGCCATAACATACAGCTGACTTCCCTCCATCGTGGAGCGTCGAGCATAATGCCCGACGCATCAGAATCGATGAGAAA